TATAATTATATAATTATATATAAATTATATTTAAAGGGATGTTGTATATTCCGCGGTCTCCTGTGGGATATCGTATTAGAAACGCAACGTGTGCAACCAACAACCACGCCACACCGGAGTGTCGATGTCACAGTTAAATATTGGATTAATTAAAAACATTATAATGTTGTCATATCCGTATCTGCGCATAATCAGTTTATGTCGAATGAAATGCCTCTATTTAAAAATCTCTTTCAGACGAATAGGTAGGGTATAAGCACATTGTTGTACTGTACCGTACCGTACCGTGCTGCGCCTACACTATATTGAATTGCACTGCACTGAACTACTGTGTCTATACACCATACGTGATCAGAGAGATAACCCTTATTATATGATAACAATATCAATATTATTGCTAGGACGTGTCAGCTAGATAAATTTACATTTGTTTTTACGCCTGCACTCCAAATTGTAATCTGGGTGGTGGGGCACGTTCTGAAAGACAATGTTTGTCTAGGAAGTGGCGCAAACAACAAATATTGGCTGGAGATACTTGGCAATCACGCCAGGCGGATAGGTTCATTTCTCCCGCGTACCAGAGTGTAATTACGTTCGAATTTTTTTGTTCTCAACAGACGCCGCCATTTCTCGTGTGTGAGGACCGCAACAACACACGTGAACTGCCAAATTTGGGCAACAGCTTCAAATTCCGCGAGGAAATCATATTGCCCCAGATCAACTTGGTCCAGTACGCAGACGTACGTCGAAACTCTTCCACTTCCGGAGTTGTTTCTTGTAAGCTTGTAGACTTTACTACCGGATTTAACGGCAGTTAATGCCTGCAGACAATAAATCGGCTCAACGGCCATTCGGCTTTTATTCGCAATCTACCGGTGGCAATCTGCTATACAGTTAATAGGTTTCTGTTTACGTTCTGTTTCTGTTTCTGTTTGCTGTTGCGTGTTACGGTTACGTTTAGTCAGACCTCCAGGTTACAACTACATCTTGATAAAACGCTGGTTACTGAATATCTAATTCGCTACTGCGAGCAATGACTTGCAAAATTGCGTATAATTTTTTTTTTAAACGGACAGCAATTTCAGCGTTTAAAGGGAAATCTCAAGTTAATTTATAAATTAATGAATGCAGTAAACTGCTTATTTGAACGTAACTAAGAGTGAATTTACAATAAATGCTTGAAAAAACCGGTACGCGTAAAATGCGTTTAAACTAAACTCGGCAGTTCTTTTCCAATGGACAGTGTTTCATCACCATTGTTTGCAACATCAATAAAGGCATGAGCAATCCAAACCAGACATGCCCATCTGCTTTCATTAGACAGGCGTTATCACTTAAAAACCTCTATTGATGTTACTGATACGGTATGAATACCATGATTGAAATATGTTGTCGATCTACGAGCTATGGTTGACTTTCGATTCAAAGATGGCCTCGATACGACTTCGTCATTAGCAGCAACTGATGCCAAGATGCTATACTATCCTGCAGCCCAATACACGAAGTACACGGACTTCAACACAGGTAGCGGTCGCGTGCGAAAAACGGTGCCAAAGGATTTTGCAGTGTGTTATACATTGGTGTATTTAGTTCTTTTTTCCATACATAACATCGCTCTCTCTCTGTCTCTTTGTCTCCTCTCTTCTCTCTCTCTCTGCTCTCTCTCTCTCTCTCTCTCTCTCTTTCGTCTTCTTTGTCTGTCTCTCCTATGCTCTCTCGTCTCTTTCTCTCTCGTTCTGGTCTGTCTCTTTCTCTCTCGCTGCTCTATCTATCTGCTATCTACTCTATCTATCTATGCTATCTTATCTATCTATTCTAGTCTATGCTATCTATCTATCTATCTATCTAGTATTCGTATCTATGCTATCTATCTATCTATCATCTAATGCTTTATCTATCTATTCTAGCCTATGCTATCTATCTATCTATCTATCTATCTATCATGCATCTATCTATCTAAACCAGCTATCTTCTCTCTCTATTATCCTTTATATATATATATATAGTTAATATATCAAGAGTCCTATATGAGACTCTTATTTATTCTCTCTATTATCTTTATTATTAACTCTCTATAAATGAGTGGACTCTTGATTACAATGTTCCGTGTGTCTGCCCTGTCATGTTCCGCGCGTGTTTATCCCATGTTTCATAGTCACGTGTCTACCTATGCTTGGTATCCGCGTTGATCGCGGCGTAATGAACCGCACTCTCTTGTGGGCGACAGGGCTTCGCTACGTCATGGATCACAAGAAGGCAAACTTGCAGGCATCAGTGCGGCTAACAAACGACGCTGAGACGCTGTATGCCGATGACGACTAGGGCGGCGCGGGTGCGTTATGCACGATGAAGAGACCGGCGGAGACCTGCTGCATTACTGCAACGAAACGCTTACGTCCTACGGGAACGGTAAAAGTCCTAAGCGGCAGACTTGCGACTTTTTCATCGCAATATCGGCCGCGGTTCTTAGATGCGGCAAGTTCGAAGTTGCTGTGAACATCTATGTCTGCGGGAACGTGGAATTGCAACTGCGTAACGATTTCTGGGCGCTTGCAGCGAGTCGGCTAGAAATCAAAACTGGTTTGAGTTCTCAGCAACTCCGTCGACTTCCAATGCGCTCCGAAATCGCTCTTCGAAATAATCGCATTCGTGCGGATATAGACAGCGGGGGAGAGGGTGACGACCGAATCGCTTGCGGATTGCAGGTGCAAGCGACGCAGCAACAAAGTCGGCGAGGGTCTGGCTGTGCTTAAGCAGCCGCACTGACGGACGCAGCGCGGGTGTAAAGTGGTGAAGGAAGGCCTGCGCTGAAAGACAGAGAATGAGAGGAGGAAGAGGAGCGCGGAAGATGTAGAGAAGGGTGGTGTGACAGCTGTGTGTGAGAGAGAGAGAGAGAGAAGAGAAGAGACGAGAGAGGAGAGGAGTGAGAGAGTGAAGATAGAGAGAAATGTCAAAAGGAAAAAGTATCATATATACATAGTATATATATATATTAGTAATATTATATATATATATAGCTTCTCTTGCTTTACAAGATATATATGGAGAGAGGGAAAACGAGAGAAATCGAGAGAGGGGAAAGAGAGTGAGAGAGAGAGAGAGAGAGAGAGAGAGAGAGAGAGAAGAGGTTGTTCTCGATACCTTCTGCAATGAATCTTACTCTTCTCCATCATAATTCTTGTAGATCTGTCGCGCATCTTGTAATGTAACGTCTATGATATATAAACTGCGAAACTCAACTTTAATTCAACTACTGCTAACTCGCCCAGGTTCGACAGTGCTGATGCAACAAATACCAAATACTAAAATGCTAATAGATTTGGGTTTAGTAAACTCACAAATAACTGTGGGTACGAACGTCGCAGAACCTTTGCATTACTGCCTCGGAAAAACTCGAGATCGTCTTGTCGAGTTATCGGTTATTTTCTCTCTATTCGTACGCTTATGCTTTATTCAATTCAAACAGCGTGTGATGAGGGAGATACCCGTGAATGTGTGGGTAGCAGACGTGGCCGTAGAGCATCTTCCGCAGGTACCTGGCATCAACGTAAAGAGCGCCATCTTTGACGTAGCATTTTCGCAGGTACAATAGACAATAGCAAATTCATGACAGTTCGTTTCTTTCTATGGTTTTGATAATATTACCTCGATGTTACTCACTGTTCTAGATCCACGACAATGTTCAAACTTAACCAACTTAGCGTTCGAGAATATATACAGTTTTCAGAATACAGAAGTCATTAAGTACAGTAATTGGTTGAATGACATTACGTGTCAATGCACAGGGAGATGCTCCAGAATGGGTGCCGGGTAGCCTCGCGCACGAAGAGGTCATAGTTGCTGCCAATGCTCGCATTACTTATATTCTTGAAGGAAGCACGGTGAGTCTATTAATTTTATTATTATTATTATTATTATTATTATTTGAAGCACGCTATTTACAGTATTTGTATTTACAGTTTTTTTTAGTCTATTTATTATTTATTTATTATAATTTGAATTGCACGCTATTTACAGTATTTGGTGATTTCCGGGTATGGATGTGAATATTGATACTGGTAGCCATTGTCAGAGCTATCCTAATGTTAGATTACTATGACTATACTGCTGCCATTGTTCTGACACCACCTGGTATCGTTAAGGAGCTATACTAGCGTTGCAGCGATTGAGGTGTTGAGGGAAGGGTGGCATAGAGGAACGAGTGTTAGGAGAATGGGCTAGGAGAAACTAATGGAGTTGAAATAGTAAAAATGTCCAGACAGTATTAGTATTTATGGCTGATTTTTCGTTGAGTCATTTTAATGATATGAAAANGGCGAGAATTGCACCCTGTACACAAGTACGCGCATGTGTTTTCGATATCCGAGGCAGTAACGAATAATTTAACGTCCTTTCTCATCTTCCTCCCTCCTCCTCCTCCTTCGTCTTCTCCTCCTCCTCTTCCTTCTTGAGAAGTCGTGGCCAAAAACCACGTTCTTGTTAACAATCAATATATATATGCGAATTCATGAAAATGGATGTAAAACGGTATGCAATATATAAATATAACAATTCAAAATTTATTTTGAACTCTATTTTGTTGATTTTGCTGCCCTAAAGATGTTTCTATGCGATATATTAGATTCTATAAGTAGAATGTCATCGATTCACGACAGTGACATTTTTCAGTGTTATTTCAGCCAAACTTATTTTGTACTCTTTAATATTTTTCAGAAGCGAACCCCAGTGCCAAACTGGAGATCGATAACGCTGCCGTCTATGCCCAACTGCAGGAAGCAATTAAGATGGGAGAGCTGAATATATTGCTACCAGAATTTGTGATTGATGGTCACAACACTACCATGTTCGTTGCCGTCAGTATCGCCGATGTTTCACCCAATTCTGAGTTGTCGGGTAAGCAAGGAGATTGGTATACGTTGAGCCATCAGTGTATACATATACTATTTTTACGATACATAACGTGGAGGTAAACTCTAACTATCCTAAGACTTTGCATACTACGTTACATCATCGTTGATGTAAGACTCGAGACACTTGTGTATTGTATTATACCTACACACACACGCGCAGACACACGCGCGCACACACGCGCGCGCACAC